CTAACCACTACACCAAACTGGCTTAAGCCACTTTGGGTCCGCATTGAGGAGAAAGACGGGGTGTAAATTGAATTAAATAAATCATTGTTCTAATGTTTGTCTTCCTTTCAGTTGTGAGATACACCGAGGGCCCCTGTCTGTCGGAGCATGCGGACTTCCTAACCCCGGTGAAGGAGGCTTCGCGGAGGCGTTGAGCAGCATGGGCTGGCTTCCCTCTGCTCAAAGACCGACATGACTTTGGGACTGCGCTGGCACTGTTTCCTTGGCGGTGGGGAGCAAACTTGAGGTGCATTGGTCAACGCAAGGGGCTGCTTATAGAGAACCGTCTTTGTGTCCCCTCCCGGACAAGTTGCTACCACCCACCTCCTTCCCAAGATGGCGGATCTGAACCGGCAACTGCAAGAATACTTGGCCCAGTCTAAGGGGGGCAGTGGCTCGGCCGTCCCGCCGGCACATCAGAGCCCACCGCAGGATAAAACAGAGGAGTCTGGGTCCGGCTTGGGAGCTTGGTTTGGCCAGATGAACCCTTTCCCCGCAACAGGAACGTGGCCTTGGGCTGCGGAGCCGGAGCCGGACCCATGGCTGCCGACCGGTCTGTCCCGCTGGCAGCGCCTGGTGGGGAGTGCCTTGTGTCTGCTGTTGGCCGTTCTTTGCTTCAGCCTCGCCGCTCTCTATGGCTCGCTGCTGCTGCTCAGAAAGTTCGCGCTGCTTTGGTCCCTGGGCTCGGCCTTTGCGCTGGGTGCCGCGGGCTTCCTACGGGGCCCGAGTCGTCTCCTAGGTGAGCCTGACCGCCGTGGCCTAGCCCTTCTTTACTTGGGCTCTGTGGGCGGCACCCTCTATGCTGCACTCGGTCTCCGGAGCACCTTGCTCACCACTCTGGGCGCCGGCATCCAGTTGGTGGCCGGTGGCGCCTATTTGCTGGCCTCTCTGCCTGGGGGCGCCGCCGGACTGCGCTACGTCGGCGGGTTCTTGACCGGTTTTGTGCGGCGGCGTGTGTCGAAAACGCTCCCCGTGTGAGGGCGGCTGTTGAGCTGAGCCCCTCTCCTGGATGGATGCTTGTGGGGGAAGAAAGCTGATGTCTATGCAGTGGGGTCCTGAGACCTGCTGTAAGCCAGTGCATGGCACAGGATACAATCCCAAAAACTGGTGGAAGGAAAACATCCAATTCTTCCTTCCATAGACGTGCTTGTCTCAGTTCCAGAAGCGTTGCCATGTTTTGGGTCTGATTTAGCAAAAGTAATTTTGTATCGTATGTTTTTTGTCCTTTTCCTATGATCGCTCTTTACTGTTTTAACATTGATAGATTAAAGGGCAGGGGGGCTGTATTCCAGACTGTGTTCCCGTATGTTTTTGCACTAATCACCTGGGCTCATAACATTAAAAACAACAACAACACTATTCTGAATAATGTTCTACTGTAGTAGCCCTCCTTAATTGTCTGTGTCCTATAATTATTCGTTAGCCGATGCAATCTAAATTTGGTATACGCGACACAATTTTAAAGAAACTGTATAGCATCTTATTAGAAAAAGATGAAGTGCTAATATCTAATCTTGAAGATAATACCATTCCTCCAGGATTTGTATTAAAAGTTTCTACAACCTTAAAAAAATATTTAAAAAATGAATGTTTCTGATCTCTAAAGTGATGTTGGGAGGATGTCTTGCTTTCCAATTATTCTGATTGCAGTGCTCCAATAATACTTGTTAATGCAGTTATTCAGATTAGGCAGTAATGTACCTGCTCTCTCCCTAACGGGGCTCACTGTTCCCATTTCTCTGTCACTGCCTTGAATACCTTGTGCCAAAAAGAGTCCAATAGACCCCTTTTATAGCATGCAACATAACGGTTGCTGAACTTGCACAATTGCCTACATTCTTTTTTCCCCTAATGCTCAGTTACTGCTATGGAGCCCATCAAGACGAAGAAGAAGAAGAAGAGATTGGATTTATACCCCGCCCTTCACTACCCAAGGGAGTCTCAGAGTGGCTTACAAACTCCTTTCCCTTCCCCTCCCCACAACAGACACCCTGTGAGGTGGGTGGGGCTGAGAGAGCTCTGACAAAAAACGAACTGCTCTTTCAGCATCAGCTGTGCCAGAGCTTGTGACTGACCCAAGGTCATCCAGCCAGGTGCAAGTGGAGGAGTGGGGAATCAAACTCGGTTCTCCCAGATTAGAGTCCGTGCACTTAACCACTACACCAACCTGGCTCTCAAGAGTAGAGCTGTAGCTTGTTTAATGGTCATATAGCTGGTCCTGAGCCAGCATCCGCATACCCTCGCACCGCTGCAGAAGGGCATGTGAGTGGCACACAAAGCATTAGTGTTCATGGTGCCCACGGTATTCTTGGACCTGCGAATAATTGTTCTCGCTTTCTCCTTCACCTAGTTGCCTTGGCTCGCCTGGCTGTTCTCATTTCTTCCAGTACGTGAGCCAGATGCGGCAGGGCAAGGGAAGAAATGCTGTCGATGCAGACCGTATCTAGCGGCCCAGACGAGCCTGATCTCGTCAGAGCATGCAAATCGGTTCAGAGCCGG